CTCCTAAGAAAAACTCAGATTAGTCGCAAAACTGTCAAAAAACTGGAAAATCTTTTCGATGTTTTTTTTTTGAGGTGATGACAACATAAGAATCTGATTACACGTCCTGGACATATAGGAGCGCATGTGGCGCATTGGTTAGAGGTGCTATGAGTTGCATACAAGGTCGATGGTTCGATCTCGCGCTCATGGCTTACCAAATCATCCATCCCTTCGAGATCGGTAAACTGGTACGAGATGGCTCCAGACTTGTCTGGAAGGATGAATAACACCGACTCGATATAGCAATAAGCCACAGCGAGTCAGTGTAAGGCCCGATACACACTCAATCACCTTAGAGGGAACTGAGAATTGAAGACGATTGCATGGTGCATCCTCCAGAGAATTATTAACGCCGAGGGCTTTGTCCTTTTGCCTTTTACTGGATATTTAGCACTTTGTTACTGAAATATCAGGACGGCGAGCTCAAAATCGCGTAATGCAACTACTCGCTCATTATCAAAGCCAAAAAACAACCTTATTGAGAGAAACAAAAGCATTGTATTAACTAAAAAGAAAAACTTTTAAAACTTAACAAACATTTATACCCCGTTCATGAGGGATTTAAGTCTACGGCAATGTCTCGCAGAATTTTTCAAAGCTTAAGCCTTTGGAAAAAAAAAGTATTCGAATATTTCAACGTTAAGTACGATGCAAACGCATCACAAGAGGATACGACAGTAAGTAGATCATAAAATAAGGGTACAATACATCTAATCGCTTGTTTTTCAGCATCGTTGTAAACATTCAATATAGTCTGTGAAAAGTTTAGAACCTTTTCAAGGTTGCTACGCCACTATCATACGTACGTTTCGGCGGTGTCGTCCGCATCATCAGTGGCCCACGCCCCACACCCAACCCTACTTTATAGTAGGGATGGGATGAGGAGGATGGATGAGACGACAACAGGGATGGATGGAAAGAGTATAATCACAGAGACAGTATTTAGGTGCCATTAGCATTTCCCTAATACTGCCGTCCCTACCACAATTCCACGTTAACTAAACTATAAACTTTAGTGAGAGCCATCGAAGCCCAGCCGAGCAAATGAAGAAAATCGAGTGTGAAACATAATTTTACTTTCACCTGTTGCGACGTAGTAAGAAGACTTTTCCTAGAGATCAAACATGTCGTTGAAACTGCAAAGATTTGAGCTTTCGAATAATTACTAAATGTTTGGAAGAAAAGCTTTAACGCAGCGAGAAAGGCCTTCAAACAATCGTGTACCTCAGTTGGGTACACGTCGTCCCGCAGGGGTTAAGAAAAATAGGGTATGTCTGATAGTCCGTGATACTAATTCACAGCGACGAATATCCGCTACCAGATTTGTCTGCAAATACTTTCTATATTGTTTGATTTGAGTTTCTACAACAGCCTTCCCTACCGACACCTCTAACGGAGCCTAGTAGGGTCTGTCTAGTGGATTAGTAGGATATGCTGATATATGCCCTACAACAATTTATTAGGAAGAGCATAATCAACTCAACTTAACTTATTTCGCTATGGCATGTAGTGAAAATGATATCACGTGTGCTCCGCATGTTCGAATGACTAACGAAAAATGGCGCAACCCTCAATAAAAACTAGTACCTTCACTTGGTAAATTTCGGTTTTGAAAGGACTTTGACGGCAATGAATAATGGATTATCACTGAAGAAACTTCTCTGAACTTTTCAACTATACCAAATGTCCCATAAGTTTTTCCGTAAACGTATAAGAATGCTCACGCGTTTTCGCTAGCACGTCCGAAATCCGCCCTAGGCCCATAGCCAAATCATGGTCCGCCGTAACTGAAAAGGGCTTATGTGGGGATACGCTACTACTAGTACATACCAGCTGATTTTGGTGACATCGAACAACCACGACATAACCACTGCGCACATCGACTCATTAATCATTTCAGTGTGAATATAGGTATATAAGAACAACTACGTAGAATCATTCGATCTTCGAAACATATTATCATGAGGCTTAGCAAAGCGCAGATCGCTTCGTTCACACCAGGAGAAGAACAGGTGAATGACATACGAACGAAAAGAATATCAGAGTGGACTCTCCAAGAGAATGCAAGCGTTCCCTTGGAAAACTAGCCGATGCACGATGGGCAGACGTATCCATGGCCAACGTAAAGAATGAGGTTTACTAAGAGTAGCACGTTCGAAACAGTTCACCACCAAGGCAGCACAATTGTGCAAGAATGGACCGGATATGAATCATTCTGAGATTCGCACAGTCAGTGGAGAAAACCCGCCATTCAAGATCCAAGTGAGTACAACTATTTGTGTTCCTGATTCTATGAGAATCCCACTATTTGTTTCACCGCCTCATCCTGGCTGGGAGGTGCTCCTGGGTATTGGACTGTAAAGCAAAACGGGTGGTTCAACTCCAGGGTCACCCAAGTTGAGGAGTCCGACGTCTCCACTTGGAAAACCCAGCTAAGAGTGAACGCTACCAGGAATGAGCTCGTCTTGGTAGCTATTAGTCGCAAAGCAGTAATCTCCCTCTGATCTACAAGCGCCAGCGGCTACCTCAATGTAGTGACGACTTGAGGAAGCCTCGACCAGGTTCAGCTCGGACTCCAGGAAACAAAACAGCTAAACCAGCACATTTTGATGGGCTGGGGTTCGCACAATTCGTGAAGTACGGACCGTCCAAGTATCCAGGTGATCTATTTAGATAAATTCATATGACAAAAAGCTTCAATACAAGGGTGCTAGTATACCTGAAAAGAAATTTAAAAAAAGTGGACCTTGAGTTTGCTTATGAGGAAAACATTTAGAAGAAAATCATAAACATTTCTGCAATTATTCAATATGCCTGATAATTATTTTCCTTTTTAGCCAGACATGTGGTCCGTTATGGGCACCTATACCGCCCAATACATGTGTCTCAGTCTGAGCAACCTCGTCAGTTGTGCAGTGCCCTTCGTCTTAGCAAGTCTTCTCGGACGGGGATCGAACTCCCCTACATGCAAACGATAACAGGCAAGAGCAATCGAGTGTACAACACTGCCCATTCACTGATTTCTTTCACTTGATGGCATGTGTAGTACGTGCGCACGTTCTCCATGTAAAGGGTTGCTCCCGAGAGGATTGACTAAGACGAAGGGCACTGGCCAACTGACGAGGTTGCACAGGCTGAAACACAGGTGTATTGGGGCTGTATAAGTGCCCATAACAGACCACATGCACGGCTCAAAAAATAGCTGTCATGCATATTGAAATTCGAGCGTGGTCTTGAGAAAACGCTCGAAACGAAAGGTATTCGTGCAATTATCTTCACTTCAATTCAACCGCCTACAATAACACCAAGAAAAACTATCACTCGAGGAGATCGTTGATAAGATGAAAGAAAACGCATTACTGGGGAAAAATGACGCTTGAAAGATACAGAGAGAAGAGTCGAGCTTACTTTTGTTGCATTGATCGGATAGCACACCATAAAACTCGCTCACCACCACCCCCGGCATTACAATATGGATGAAAAAACGCGACCGTTTTCGGTTTCCTAGAATCGAATCTCGATTAAACACTTTACAAAATGATTAAATAAAATGAAAAATAATAAAAGATTAAAATGACCATTACTTTACTAACTGACTAACCTTCGCAGCCTGATCGAAAGCACGAACGCAGCCAGGAAAAATAGTGCCCAAATCATTGTGACATCAGACTCTGAAGCAAGAAATTTACATAATACAATTGATAAAATCAACCGTACACGGGGAGCCGTGGCTGAGCGCTTGTGATGCTCGTCGTGGCGCGCGAGGAGCCGTGCTCTATCCCTCCCTCCCCCAACTCTCTCCGTCGGTTAACAACAACTCCACAGCCAGGCTATCCTCGAGATTGCTCAAGGACTCATCTAACCAGTATTCTACGACGTTCAGGAAGAAGAAACTGACGAAAGCGAATCCAATGCTAGCAGTGGTGTGATCCGCACTATGAAAATTGTGATGACGGGTCCATAAAAAAAGATAATAATAATATTTCTTCATTTCATCCACAAGACCCGTCATCGTTTTTTTTTGTGCGCCTCGTAATTCTAGTACTGGATTCGTTTTTCGTCTTCTTCTTCTTGAATGACGAAGAGTACTGGCTGAGCGACGTCTTCTTGCAATCTCGAGGATAGCCTGGCTGTGGGGTTCACGGGACGTTCTTGTTGACTGCCGGAGAGTTGGTGATAGAGCTCGGCTCCATAAGCGCCGCGACGAGCATCACAACCACTCGGCCACTGCGCCCTTTGATTATAATAATAATAATAACGAATAATAACCGTACATAGCCTTTCGGGCCTAATACCGCAGTACTGATATGAGGATTTACTCGGCTAACGTCCCAACGTCTACGTCTTCTTCGGAGTCAAACAACTGAGGAAAGTCGACTCAAATCATCTTGGCTCCGAAGAAGACGAAGACGTCGAGATGTTCGCTTGACGCAGAAGTCTTCGTCGTGTCTCAACTCGAGGTGGTATTAGTTGAATCGTGAATAAATCGATTACTGTTTAGTCAATTCGGGTATACAGAGAAATCGGTCATCAGAGTAACCTCGAATATACCCGATAATGTGGTGTGCTGTGCAAAAATATTTGCGTCAGCCGGGATTCGAACCCAGATCTCACTCTTTCCAGGAGCGTATGCTAACCGTTGCACCACCGTGAATAATTCGATTACTCGGTGGTGCAACGATTTGCATACGCTCCCGGAAAGAGTGAGATCTGGGTTCGAATCCCAGCTGACGCAAATGTTTTTGCACATCACCTCACATTATTGGGTACATTACAAGATCATACCACCGCAAGTGGCGGTCAGATAAAAAGAATTCTAACCTCGAACAGTTTGACGCATATTTTTGAGAAATAAAAACGTCTTATCGACCACGAAATGCCATTAACGACTATTGTTTCTCGCAATAAACAACGGAAGTCCTAATCAATTACAACGAAGACTGATGGCGCAAAACAGTTGTGTCAGACGGGACTCGAACCCGTATTTCCCCAATCCGCCGGAGGCACATGCTTTATCCATTGCACCACCGACGACGCCTGTCTTGACGCCATCAATGGATATATTTGTAACAACGTAACATCGTTTGAAGGTGGTTAATAAAAAAAAGGATCCTAGTTGAACAACGAGGAGTCTTGGCAAAGTTCCTGTAGACAATAGCTTATGAAATCTTTGGAGATCACGAAAAACTGCGAGTTCAAACGGACGGAAACGAAAAATTTTAATAAAGACGATTGATCTGGCTTCAAATTTCATCGAAGTTTGAGCTCACAAGTCTACGCATACCACCTAGTTATGGAGCGAACATGCAGACTAACGATCGTCCCGGCCTAGCGAAAAGTATGGAACTCGACGAGACGACGAGCGAGAACTACTCGATAGCCGGTCCTGGTAACTGCTCATACTACTTGTCACACGAGTAATAGACCACAACGATTGTGTAACTACTACTGGCTAGTCAATACGAAACACGTAGACCACTCAGACTGGACGAACACGCGGCACTATATCGATCAAGCGTCGAGGACGCTAGCCGACACGCACCCTCCATAGACGAGAATGGCTCCAAAGCCGGCTGAGATACGGAGCAATGTGATTGGATGACGAAGTCAAGCCCGTGGATGGTCCTTAGGCGTGGCTCTAATGAATACCATGCTTATCCATTGATGTAGAGTGGTGTGCAAAGCTTTTGCGTCAAGCTGGATCCGAACCCCTATCTCTCTCTCTCCGAGAGCGCGTGCTCTAACCCGTTGCACCACTGATGCTCGTTTCGCCATCACTCTACGCTACTACGCATCTATTTGTCAGCAACCAACCGTATTGGGTATTGGATGATCAAATTGAATTTTTTATCTCGACCGCTTTTAGCGTAGAGCGATGGCAAAACGGACGTAAGTAGTTCAACGGGTTAGAGCACGATCTCTCGGATAGAATGAGGTGTGGGTTCGAGTCCCGCCTGACGTGAAAGTTTTGCACATCACTCTGCATCACTGGGTATATCCGTAGCATCACACCACCACTAGAAGCGGTCAAAATAAAAGGAATTCCATTTGAGCATCCAAAACGATGTATATGGGGAACGCATGGGTTTTGAATGTCCCATTCACCCTCACGGGAGCAAATATCTCTGAATGCTTCAGTCACGTCTATCTAGGCTGTGAAATCAACATGATGACCGACCTAGCTCCAGAGTTGAGCAGGAGGAAACGAGCGGCTTGGGGAACGTTTAAGAGCATCGAAGATGTAGTGAAGAGGACTAAGAACATCCGACTCCGTGCCCACTTTTTCGACTCGACAATTATCCCTGCCCTGACGTATGCAGCACAAACCTGGTCGCTACGTAAGCAGGATGAAAGATCACTTGCCGTCATCGAACGCGCAGTCGAAAGGTCGATGCTAGGAGTATTCCGTATCTCGCAAATGAGAGAAAGGATCCAAAGTTACGACCTTCGTCAACGACCAAAAATCAAGGACACCGTTCTACACGTCAGGATATCGAAAATAAGGTGGGCCGGGCACGTGATGCGCTTCAACGACAACCGATGGACGAGAGCCGTTACCGACTGGATTCCTCGGGACGTCAAGCGCTCTACAGTAAGACCACCGACCCGTTGGTCTGACTTCTTCGCGAAAGGTATAAAAGAAAGATATGACGCTCAGCGAATCCCTAGAGCGAGGAGGACCCACTGGGCCACTCTTGCACGTGATAGAGAAAAATGGAAGTGTTGCTGATACCCGCTCGAGTTACTCGGCGATGAACGGGACGACAAGTGATACAGGATATACCAGCAATGCCCACGTGTCACCCATCGTAGGTCTGATCGCTTACCCACAAAATAAGTCAAGTCATGCGCTCCATGCAGCGGTCTGTGAGTTTGTAAAACGACAACAACAAGACTGCTGAGATGCGGGCAAAACTTGGAATGTGAGATGGTGTCGAGCCAGTAATTACATTTTGCAGGGGTCGTGTATTATCCACTAAACCATCGAAGCTTCGCCAACCTTTCTTTCAATCACGTTTTATAATCTTATCGGTGCTATCAGCAATTATCCACCAACGGGAATGATCCGAAAGCGCGTGATTCGGTGTTGAATGCAGTTAAACTGAAGCCGTGGGTCATCCCGCTTACGAGTGGTCACTACCAATCATCGAATGGGCTAAAACACAACTGAGAGAAATCCAAAGCGGACGACTTCTGTTATATAGTGGAAAGAGTTTTTGAGCCCCAAACACGCTTGTAAGAGATCCCAAGTTTTGCTCTTATCGCAGCACTCGTGATGTATCTCACAAAGCAGCCTGCCGTTGGAATAAAAATTGGGCAGTAAATAAAGTCGAAGAATAGTGACATTATTTTTCAGTGAGCACCTGTAAATTTCTTCAAAAGCGGCATATCATTCAGATGCTCTGATACTTATGGAGTCAAATAAATATGTGGCGGATCTATTAAAAGATTGTCCAAAGCAGATGCTCAACTCAATATTCGCTCACTTTCTTCTGACTCAACATTTAAGAGCTTGTATTTCACGATTAAGTATCTGTAATTCAAATATTCCTAAGAGAATTGAGGGATAGGCAAAATTGCGATCTCAGATGGGAGTTGAACCCGCGTTTCACCCATACCGATGGTGTGCGCTGCCACTACACCAGTGAAGCCATCGCTAACCCACCACTAAATCTTCGAGATCTCTCTATCATAGCTTTTAACCACCAACCATTGACAGGTTCAATCGTGTAAGCAATATCGTTCTATAAACCCACTTGATCTGACAGTCATTGTACTCAGATAAATCCAAGATTGCTTATGTTTTCACTGCTTATTCGCAGTGTTATGATGTTTCAAATGTGCTTAGAGAAATGATTGGTAGGCAAAAATAGGAAGATATTGAGGAATGAGTGGTGGCGATATGGTGTCTCTGTGGCGTAGTGGTAGCACGCGCCTCGGTATGGGTGTAACGGAGGTTCAACTCCCGCCTGAGGTCGAATTTCTGCTAACCACTCAATTCTTCTAGATATATTTGAACATCATAAAACTGCGAAAAAGCAATAAAACCATAAGATATATTGGTTTATGTCTATATTTCGTCGGAGATATTATATATACATATATATATATATATATATTATATATACATATATATATATATATAGAAAGAGAGAGAAAATAGAGAAAGAGAGAGGAGAGAGAGAGAGAGAGAGAGAGAGACTATTTGTTGTAAATAACCGGTGGTGGGATGCCTTGTTCACGGCAGTCGATAACCTCATATCTGGCTACTCCATATCATCCTCTTGCAATATTATTCATTGTTAAATGATCCTGTAGCACGTTGTTCAAAGAAAATGTCGGCAGAGAATATAGTATATGGCTTCTTATTAATGTCGAAATTAAACCAAAGCGATTTCTGATCTTTATTTCAAGTGCCTTGTTTAGACCACGCTCAAATTTCAATACATCCTTTCAATATCATTTGAGCCAACTTGTCATGTGGTCTGGTAAGGGCTCTCGTACAGCCCGATACACGTGTTTCGTCCTTACAGACTCGTCAGCTGGGCAGAACACGTCGTCTTTCGATCTTTTTATAGTCAGTTCTCTCGGGAGCCTTACACTCCTTATAGAGAGTCATTGACGGTGTACGCTTTACACTCTATGTCAAGTGAAACCTTCACTTAACCCAGAGTGTTGTGCACTCGAGGGAACTGAATATAAAAAGAGCGAAAGACGACGGGTTCTGCCCGGCTGACGAGTCTTTAAGGACGAAACACGTGTATCAGGCTCTACAAGACCCCTTACCAGACGACATGACAAGTTGGCTCAAATAATAATGAAAGGATTTCTGATCTATTTCTGATCTATTAAGTTTTGTGCTAGGCATTAATCATATTGACTGCAGCAAGATGGATCGTCCACTTCTTCACTGAAAAACAAGTAATCATCATCATCAACAGCCTTTTGTAGACAAGGGCATCGCCGAGAGAGATTCTTCACTTGAGCGGTACCAGCCGAAGAAAGTTTTTTACTCGATCGACAAGGAAGGCGAAGAGGAGCATCTGCAGACAATCTATGCGAATCATTGGCTCTGACAAAGAAAATGTGTCGGATCGTTAGCCGAGCAAATTTTTTTTTATTGATTAGTAATGCCGAAGTTTGAGGGAAAATCGGCTTTTGATTTTTTTCAGAAGGAGTTTTGCCTCGAACATCTTTGTACAGATTGAAACTGATTCAGAATGCTTTGGAAACTCAACATTTATGGAAGGATGAAACGATATCATTCTACGAAAATGTGAGACAAGGAGATTTTTCCGAAATGGAGAAAAAAATTTCTAACTAGATAACGAAGTCGTGCCTTTTCGGGGAGGCGGTCGAAATCGCTACACGCAGTGCAATTTTCGCGTTTCAGAAGTGTTCATTTGTTTTGAGAAAATCTTCAGATCTTTTTGACATTCTAATACTAGACGATTTCTGCACACTCACCCACGCTTTCAGTGCATGTATATATATATATATATATATATATATATATATATATGAATATATACGCATATATACACATGTATCGTGTATATATATGTAATATAAATATATATATAATTTACACATGTGTATGTTATGTGTGAAGCAGACTCTGAGGGTTAAACACAATTTTCTTTCCCTCTTACAGCACTCTGTGGAGACCTTTTTGAAAACCAGCCTGAATTCGAAGTCATCGCTTTTCAAGCTATCGTATAAATACTAAAGCTTTGGTCAAAAGCCTCCAAAAATCCAAACCAAGAGTAGGAAGTAAAACAAATGTGAAGCATAGTTTTATCATCCGTGCTACAGCGCAATAAGAAAGATTTTTCCTAGTAAAGTATTAAGTAGTACTATTAAAGTATCTAAAGCACTACAAAGTCGCCGTGATTTAAGCTATCGAGTAATTATTTGTAGTTTAGGATAAAAGCTTTCTTCAGCGACAAGGCTCGTTCTCTAAAGTGTGAAATGACTGACTTAATGGTTGAAGCTCCACATTGAATACTCTACTATCATTTCCATTGTTCCTGTCTGAATTATTGGTTGAAGCTCCACAATACATATATACTATCATTCTCATTATTCTTGGTTGATAAGACGAAAACGGGCAACTTCATGAAAAATCCATCTATTATGATTGGTTTTATTTATTGGTCTTGCACTTGAAAATCACATTGTAGGTTGTTTGATCCTCATGTACAATACAATTTTCCAAACCATTATCAAAGTCTTTTGTGTTTATTTCAGCTTCATGTTTGCTTGTTTGTGTAAGCGAAGGGTTTTTGTGATTCAAAAAAATTTTTTATATTGATTTGTGTTTTTAGTATATACCTAAGTTTTATATTTCAAAATCTTTGCGTTTGGCGATCAGCTATGTTGTACACAGACCATATGCACGCAGATGTTATGGAAACACCTTCTTTTAGCACAATATTTGACCCGTACAATAGCTTTTTTTTGCTATGTGGGTCTCAGTACTTTTACCATTCATTTCATCTCCTCGCGTTCTGTTGAGGGTAAGAGACTGACCCCGCGTAGAACCGCGTCTAACATCATTAGCCACTCAGCCACACCCTATCTCATATCGAAAATATACGAAAACGAGTTTTGAAAAAGTGAAAACTGTCAGCGAAAACTGAAAAAGGAAGCTTTGAGCGGTAAGAAGACTTGGAAAGCTTAGCAGAACATAGTTACGTGAGATTCACCAACTAGAAAAGATTTTCTATGTCACATCCACTTTACGTCCAGATCTAATAAAATTTAAGAGTGATCGTACCCATGTGAATAAAACAGGACGCAGAACATTTATGGCTATGAATTCTTGTAGATGTATCAAGAATTCACTGAAACTGTGATGCGGAGCCTTTCCTACCAATGGGAATTTGACGTGGGTAAATCTGTCCAAAATAACATTCAACTAGAATCGTAATTTTGGATTCCGTCGACCATCGTCTCATT